CACCAGAAGCTGCCTCCGCCCTGATAGAGCCTCCTCTCTCCCCTGCGGGGGGGGGACAGTGTTCCCTAGCCCCTTACACTGAAATGTGGGATGGTACCAACTAGTCTTTGCTGGAATGTCACAGCCCAGATCCCTCCTTCACCCCAGCCGCAGGTCTGCCCCTCCATGCCCCCCGACTGAGAACCTATCCCTCCATAAAGGGCACGAGTTGGCTTCCAGGTCTTTAGATCACAGGGCGGGGAAATAACCCAGTTTGATGGGGCAGGCAATTTGCCACCTGCCTGGGAAGCAGGGCTGGGAGGAGCAGCCCTGCCACAGCTCCAGGCCAGAGCAATGGGGTGAGATGCCCATGGAGCTGCAGCAAGGCTGGGCAAAACCTGCAGGGGCTCAGGAAGGATCCCCAAACCCTTTTCCATCACCTGAAACTCAAGCTGAACAGCCCCTGATGTGCAGCGAGGGGGTCCCTGCAAGCCTCTGCCCATCTGCCATGTCCCTACCTGTCCGTGCCTCCCAACAATATGAGCGTAACGAGAAGACAGCACCAAGTCCCACACACACGCACACACACACACACACACAGACAGTGCGGGGAGGTGCGGCAGAGCCAAGGCGCAGCCGTGCTGTGCAAGGGAAGGTAAGCCACCGAGGCGTGACAGCGAAGCTAGGGGGATGCCCGGGAGATACGTGAAGGAAGGTGCTCACCTTCCTGCCCAGAGCTGTGCTGGATGCAGCTGGCTGCTTGGAAAGCCCCAGCTGAAAGCATCCTTCCCCCCCACCCCCAATAGATAAAAGATGGGAGATAGAGGAGAGGGAGAGCTGCTGCTGGGGAAGGTGGGAAGCAAGTTATGGCTGGAGGAGAAGGTCTTTTCGGCAAAGCCACCTCTGCCGTGAGAAGCCCCCTGGATTAACGTGCCAGTGGAGGCAGGGTGGGAAGGAGGTGAGCATTTGCTTCTGCAGTAGGGGAAGAGGAGTGAGAAAATGCCAACTATAACAGTAAAAAGAAGCCCCATCCCCACCCTGACACCCCCACCCCAGCCTCTTCCCTGCCCCTCTGACTTGCTATGAGCCTGTTGTCCTGCTGGGAGGAGAAGGGATGTGACAGCCCTCTTGGAAAAGGGTAAAGAGGGTCCTGTGGATTGAGATAGTCATTTCTAGCCCCAGCTCCAGGGGAACTTTCCCATCCAGCATCGGAAGCAGCCACCTGAACCTCCACACTCCCTGCAGGAATGGGACCCTTGGCGTCCTGTCCTAAGACGGGAGGAATCCCTTTGGACAAGCCCCCAGGGGCTCCTGGGCTGGGATAGTGGAGGTGGCCCACATGCTTTTGGGAAGGACAGCCTCGCACAAGGTGACAGGCAGAGCCATCCCCAGAACCCTCCTTTTCCCTCCAGCAGGACCAAGCTCCAAAGTGAGGTGACACATCCGCATGGATGTGGAATTCTCTAGCCCACTGAGATGGCAGGCTCCTCCCTTCCAGAGGTAGTTGGGGCAGGTAGGAATTGCCTCCTTTCGGAAGACATGGTAGGCTATCCAGCCACCACTTAGGGAAGAAATAGTTTAAGCTGCAGGGGGGTGCAAAGCAGAGGGTTGGGGAAGGGCAGGGAGCGAGGGCAAGAGCTCCGCTGCTGCTGGGCATATGCCAGGGATGTCCCAGGAAAGGCATCTCTGGGGCCCCAGCCCACTGCCAAGGCTCTCCCTTGCCTGGGGGAGGCATTGTCCAGGGGCCAGGACCCAACTTACGGGATTTTTGTGATGTAAATAGAAATAAATACTTTATAAATATCATCTTAAACTACCGACACCTGATCTTACTCTGCTGTCTCTTGCAGAAACATCAATAAACTAGGAAATCCTCATACTTAAACTATCCCTTTCCCTTCATGTGGAGGCAATTCCTCCTGCTCTCCCCCCTCCAAGCTTTACCACACTCCCACCTCTGTAGATCAAAGACCAGCTATTAGCCAAAACTGCCCTCCTCACTCCCTCCCCTCTGACAGGGACCTTTCTGGAGCATTACAGATGGTGTAACATGAAGGTCACCCATGAGGGGACGGGCAGAAGATGGCACGTGCACAAGAGATCCTGCCCAGGCAGGTCGAGGCTTTTGCAGCTACAAACGGAAGTGAGTTTCCTCCGCAAAGGTGTGAATCGAGACAGATCCTTCCATGGAGCAGGCAGCTGGGGCAGCAGATGGTGTGAGAGATCAGACGTTAGCATGGGGAGTCTTGAGACAGAATCAGCTATCTTGATTCTGTTGGCAGACGGATGAGGTGGAGGGTATTTTTCAGGTTAGATTCTCATCTGGGCTGTTCTCCTTCTGGAAAGCTTGGATCTGATTTGGAAAACAAGAGAAAAAAGGTGTCAGAGATTCGGACAAGGAGAGGTGTGATCTCCCTGTGTTTGGTGTCCTGGCTCCCGGCTGGTGCTTGAATCCAGCCAGAGCTGGAGGAACATGGAATTAACGTCTCTTTAGCCAAAGCGCACAAATTTCTGTGCATTTACTCCTCTCTCCCTAGTCCTGCCACTTGAGATGGTCTCAATAGTGAAGGGCCAGTGTCCCTGCCACCAACCATGAATGTTGCTTTGAACTCAGCACAACAATGCCTCTGTACCAGCCAATATCTGTCCCTAGATTGAAGTATTTAAACCGGAAGGAGCTGAAATCAAGTCTAGTATGGTCCAAGTTCTGCCAGCTGAGAGCACATCCTGGCACAGCTCTGTGCAGGAGGTGCTCCCCATGCCTGGCTGGATGGGCCTGCACCAGGAAGAGCACTGGGTCTGGGACAGGGAGCACACTTGGCTGCCCGCAGACCCCCCACCAGCAACTTCTCTGCACCACCCTTCACCCAGCTGCCCCTGGTACCTTATGGACCCAGCCAGGAGGGGGTTGAAGGCGTAGAGCCAGTCGTGCATGTCCTTGTCACTGCTTGCCTGCAGCAGGATGCCGCGGTGCTCTGTGCACACTGCAAACGTGTTCGGGGTCTGCCAGGAGAGAGCTGTGGATGAGTTCCCTGCCTGAGGGGGTGTGTGGAGCGGGGCTGGATCACGGTGCCCTACCTTGAGCATGGCCTGCTGGTCCTCGCTGTACTCCACCTGAGCCTTGGAGAGGTTGAGTATGGCCCTCTCGACCATATCCTTGTCTGAATTGTAAATGTAGACATATGGGCGCCGGACCACCACGAAGCGCTTCACCCACCCATTGGTGTGGGGCTCCAGGAAGTGCAAGTAGCCCTTTTTGGAGACGATGGGGCTGTGGAAGGGACCGAGATCAGGGTGAAGCATGGACCACAAGGAGGTGGCAATGGTAGGGCATGGTTCCCCTCCCAACCCCAAGGCACTCCCTTTCCTGGCTGCCCCAGCTGCTCCTACCTGACCCGGATCTCCTGGATGTCGGGCACCAGCAAACGCTGGGGCTCCTTTTCCTCCTCAGGCCGGTGGCCTGGGGACTTCTTCTGCTCTCCTTCTACTGCAGGCTCCAGGTCAGGGCTCTCTGCTCTGGAAGAGACCTGGGGGGGTCTGGAGAGGGAGGAAAGGCTAGAATGTAGGAAGAGTGACAGCTAGGGAACACCCTTTGACCAGGACCATGTCCCAGTGGTACAGCTGCCCTGCTTGAGGGATGCCAGGACATCACCCAAACCTCCTGGCCACCTTCTTACCTGACCTCGATGGCATTGTAGCGTCCTTCCACCAGTGATGGGCAGGTTGAGGAGGGGGTGAGAGTGGTGACCCCAAGAACTTGCATGGACGGGTCTCTCATCAGGGTCACAGACATTTCGGACAGCTGTGGAGGAGTGCAGGTATGGACTCAAGTTTCTGCCTGAAGCTGGGCACAGGCAAAAAGGACCAGGTGCCTACTCATACAGGGAGAAGCAAAACCTCCAGCAAGCAGGTTTCTCCCCCAGCCAGCAGGTTTCTCCCCCAGCACAGGCCCAAAAGCCACCAGCTCAGGGAACTCCAGGGCAGGTGAAGGGAGTGGGGACCCCAGAGCAGGGACTATTCACACCAAGGTGCCCATTTGGCCCTTGCCCAGCCAGGCGCTCTTGGCCAGACATCCCTCCCAGCTCCCAGCAGCCCAGTGAGCCCAGGGCACTGACAGTACCTTGCTCTCACTGGCGCTAATGCAGACGTGGCTGTGGCTGTACTCCCTGTTGAAGGTGTGTGTGAGCAGGCGCAAGCACTGTGGAGAGAAGAGGAAGATGGTAGGATAGGAGGCATCTTCTTCCACCCTTCTCCTCCTGCTCCTCTTGGGCTTTCTCCTGCCACAGTCCCCTTCCACCCCACAGGAGCCCCTTCCCAGCTTCATCCCTGTGAGCTGGGGATGCTGCAGGATGGTACCTTCACAGCCAGTTCCTTCTGCCTCTCGCTGGGGCTCTCGGGAGGTGAGGTGCGGTTCTCAGCAGCCCCATCGACGGAGAGCGGGGAGGAGACACAGGAGGTGCTTCGGGACTCAGAGTCCTCACTGGAGCAGGGGGACAGGGTCTCCAGGCCCAGGTGCTGGGTTGTCTCTAGCTTCTCGCGCAGGAGCAGGTAGTGCCTTGTCTTCTCCACCTGGGCAGAGGCATCCCAGCTCAGAGGCAGCCCCTTTCCCTTACTGGCATCCTTCTGGGGACCATGCGTCCCAGGCCCCATTACCCCACTTCTAGCTCAAACTCTTACTTCTTGCAGGAGGCTGAGTTTCTCCAGCTCCCACTGATGGTCGAGGATGAGGCTGTCACTGCGGGGCCGCCAGCCAGCCAGGTTCTCCTCTCCCCGCACATAGGCTACGGAGGTGTCCAGCACACGCCGGCGACGTCTCTGCATGCCTGTGGGGACAGACACATACTGGGGGGTACAGATGCACAGACCCAACCCCAGCCACCATGCTGTGCCTCCCAGCCTCGTGGTGAACACCCAGGCAGAGACATGGCACCCACCTGGGCTGCCGGCGTCTGCCACACGGCAGAGGCTGAGCTCGTAGACTCCTGTCACACGGTTGCTGTGGTCAAAGGAAGATGAGGCTTTACCAGCTCTGTCCAATCCCCATGCCCCAGTTATTTCACCCAGGCAGCTGGAATGCCCCAGAAGGGCCCCAGTCCCTGGGTGATGGCTCTTCTCTCCAAGAAAGGCAGGAGCACCCCAGTACCTCTCAGAAGCCCGCAGGCTACCGCTGCCGAAAAGGTTGCGGATGGAACGGGAGGCAGGAAGCTTGGCATCCCTGGAGTAGAAGACCATGCAGAAGTCTTTGGTGATGACTGCCGGCTGAGTGCAGTTCTCCATCTGCAGCAGGGCAGGAGGAAAAGGTGTTATGGGGGGGGGCTGTGGCTCGGCAACCCATCCCAGTACCTCTCAGAAGCCCGCAGGCTACCGCTGCCGAAAAGGTTGCGGATGGAACGGGAGGCAGGAAGCTTGGCATCCCTGGAGTAGAAGACCATGCAGAAGTCTTTGGTGATGACTGCCGGCTGAGTGCAGTTCTCCATCTGCAGCAGGGCAGGAGGAAAAGGTGTTATGGGGGGGGGCTGTGGCTCGGCAACCCATCAGGTCTCTCCCACCCCTGGTGTCCAGCAGTTTCCACTCCTGGGGTCCCACCAGGGCCCCAAAGCACTAGGCTGAATCCTGCACCCTGTCAGCATTGGTGCTGGCTAAAGGAGGGGTTTACATTGGCTGGACCCCGGCAGTGGAGGAAATACCAGATTTTGTTGGCATTACAATGGCCCCAACTAAGGTCCTTGCCTCAATGTAGGCAGACAAGGTGATGTAGATTTTCTCCCGGTAGGGGGTGACACGGTTGAGCAGCAGCGAGTTGTGCATGGAGCTATCCCATGCTGTCTCAAACTGGTAGAAAGTCCTGCAACAAAAATGAAATAGCAGAACCGGTAAAACAATGTCCCCAGAACCCCAGGCGAGTGAGCAAGGAGATGCTATTGTCTGCCGCTGCAGCAAGGCCTGCAAGGACACATGGACATGCACACGCCACAGGGACAGATGGGGACAGCCACTCCAGAAGACGCAGGCTCAAGGCAAAGGGGGACAAGGTGTGGCAGGGGGGGGGGGGGGGG